GTGCATGACTTGGGGGGCTGGGAAACTGTCTACTTGTTTCAGCTCATTCAAGAAAATTGTCTCCTCAAGGAAGAGAGGGTCTCACTCTTATAAGACAATGGCCAAGATTAATTGAATTGTAATTCGCAGCAGCCTGCTCCTCAGGGCAGCATGACCCTGTGTTCCTGAAAATGGGAAATGTCCTTGTTTTCAGGTCCAGATACAATGTCCATATCAATTTAACAAAGGGAGTGTTTTGTCTCTGTTTTTGTGAGCTCTGCAGATAGGCCTGTAGGGACCACGTGTTTGCTGTGCTGTTACAAAACCCAAAAGACTGACCTGGGCACAGGTATGTCCTTGGGAAATACCACTCATTGGGCCATCACAGGTTGGTACCCTACCTGCCCCACCCTATCAGACTTCCTAGTGAGCTCTACCCCCTCCCCCCCCATCTGCATGAGTACTCAAGTCAGTCTTCCTACACACAGTCAAATCCACATGGAGGGGGAAGGACACAAATTACAAAACCCTTTCTCAAAATTTGATAAGCATTTTTTTTTGCAGATCTCTTCAAATGTCTTCTAGGTAGAGATTAGCACTGAGACTGTATGTTGGCTTTGCAAAAAATAAATCTCACACCAGGTGAGATTTGGGTCCATATTCTACATCATCTAAAGCCTCAGGAGAGTTCTGGTGAAAAGTTCTTGTTGTGGCCCATCTCTACTTAGTTGCATTTTAATCTGTTGGGCAGTTAAGCCTATGAACACACTAATTTGACATTCAAACATTTTTCCTTTATCATCTCATTCTCACTTTCCCTGATTTCCCTCCTCTGACTTGAAATTAAACCCACAATTCCAATCCCAAGCATTCAAAAATCGTGAGTCAAGCCCCCACCCAAAATCATGAGATTTTAAAAATAACATTTGTATCTTTTTATTTGTCTTCTGCTATTAGACAGCCTACTAGCTTTTAGGGGTAATATTTTCAAGTGTTTCTCCACAACCCTGTGCAAAGAAACTTTTTTTTTTAATAAAAACCAAGAATCTCACATAATCACATGACTCCAGGAGCTGGGGCTTTAGGAAGATATATCAAATACTATGAGACTTCTGATAAAATTGTAAGAGTTGACAACACTGCAGTTCCAACACTTTTTATCTCAGACCAGCAACTGACAGTTTCTTACACTCTGCTTTACATTCCTTGGGAATGAGGGCAAGCAATAGCCTTTCTCTGAAGAGAGAGGACAGTGCATTTAATGTTACACAATATGAGTACATGCATCTAGATAAGGTCAGATTTTACAGTGGATAAACAGACAAATAAAAGTTTAAATAGTACATTACACCACAGCTTATCTTGATAAACAGAAGTCCAGGGCCGGCTCTGGCTTTTTTGCCGCACCAAGCAAAAAAAAAAAAAAAAAACCACTTGCGGCGTGGCCGGAGCCAGGGTGCAGGGGGACTCCCTGCGCTGGTGCCCCGGCTAGCGGGGAAGAGAGCGGGGGGGAGAGAGAGAAGGGGGCAGCCAGGGCTTCAGTGGGGCGCTGTCAGCGGCCCCAACCGCCGAGCCGCCTGCCGGGAGGGCTCCGCGCCGCGGTCGGCTGGGAGGGAAGGATGCGGGCTGCCCTGCCGGGCTTGCTGCAGGGCGCTCCCCTCCTCTGCGCCACCGCCCACTACAGGGCGGCCGGAGCGGAAACAAAAAAAAAAAGGTGCAGTGCCACCCTATGATCGTGCCGAATGCCGCCTCGTACAATCTGCCGCCCCAAGCACGAGCTTGCTCGGCTGGTGCCTGGAGCCGGCCCTGCAGAAGTCAGTTAGCACTGCATTTCGCAGGCAAGAAAAGACAAGACGTGATATAGAGGAAGTGATTTTGCCTATTAAAATCATGACCAAACTGTAATTCTCAATATTGCCAACCTCAATCTTTCAAACATCACAGGTCAGACACCAAACAGTCATGGGACTAGCTTAAAAATGCAGGATTTTTTAAAAAAACAATACATTTTATGGTGGTTTGGGTTTTTTTGTTTTTTTGCCTTCTGGTTTCTGAGCTGCACTTTTTCAGGTTTTTCTCCACAGCCATGAGGGCTAGAACACATTTTTAAAAAATGAAAGCTGAAAGTCTCATGAAATCTCTTGCTTCCAGCCATTAGTGATTTTTTGTTTTTTTAAAGCCCCAAATATCAGGAGAGTTGGCAACATGCTCCACTCCTGCTTTTCTTAACAATTTGACTGACAGAAGGTTGAATCCTTTTTATAGTCTTAAAATTTGCTGATCACTTCATTTGAGTTATCATTATATATTATTTGATGATGACCACATGTATGCTTGGAACTACAGAGAAAACACAAAGACTGAACCTTGGCGCTGCTCTGCCAGGAAGCAATAGGAGGAGATAATGCTGAAGGCCCAAACCCAGCAAAGGGCCCTGTGCAAATGGCCCTGGCCTCCCTTATCCCTGATTTGGGGACCAGCTCCAAAGTGTGTGTGTGTGTGTGTGTGTGTGTGTGTGTGTGTGTGTCGCCGCCCCCTACCTTACCCAACACGACAAA